TGGTGGAACTGGGGATTGAACTCAGGCCCTTGCACTTGCCAGGCAAACACTTATTCTACTGAGCCATCTCCCCAGCCAAGTATTTTATATTTTTTGTTTGGGTTTTTCTAATAATTAAAGACTGTAGAAGTCACTCAAAAAAAGTTCCGTTCTTTAGAAAACTGATACAGCCTAGGAAGAAAAGTTTTTTCCCAAAAGAAAGGGGAACAGAGTATCAATAACTGTTATCTTTTAGAGGAAAATATATTCTACACACATACATACATTATCTATACACACACACACACACACGCACACACACACACACACACACTTTGGAGGGTGAAGCTGGAGAAATAGATCGTGAGTTCAAGGCTAGGCTGGGGTATGTAACAAGAACTTGTCTCCAAAACAAAACAAAACATGTATAGTATTTATGTACAAGTGTGCACGCATGTATGTATACATTCATTTTCTGTTGCTATAACAAAATACCTGAGGCTGGGTAGTATATAAAGAAAGGAGACCTCGTTAACTCACAGTTTTGGAAGATGAAAGTCCAAGATTAGGTGGCCCCATAGTTCAACCTCTGATGAGGGTCTCATAGCAGGTTTCACAATGACAGATGGTTTCACAGTGGCTGAAGCAAGTATAGAAGTGTATGGCATGACAAACCCAGAGAGATTTAAGTACCAGATTTCTTCTTTTCTCTAACAGCTTACCCATGAGAATTAACTCATTGTATAGGACCAGCATTAATCCCTTTTGAGGGTAGTGCCCCCATGGTCTGATTACCTCATGCTAGGGCCCCTGTCAGCCATTCACCACCTCAAAAATGCTGCACAAAGGACCAAGCTTTCTGTACATGAACCATTGGTAGATATATCCAAATCATATATGTGCGTGCCTGTGTGTAAGATAAGCAGAATTAATCTGTGGATAAAGGTTTCAGGGAATCTAGTGTTTATACTTAAAAAAAAAGGTAATATCTATTTCAACTACTGTTTACACATAGTGCAGAATGGATTTTTTATTAATTTGCCCAACATAAATGTAATCTTTAGTAATCTCTGTTTTTTATATCTTTTAAGATATGTAGAGGGCTGGCCAGATAGCTCAGCAGATTAAAGTGCCTACTTAGGCAGATGCAGGGACCAGGGTTTGATCCCCGGTGTGCCATGCCAGCTCCGCCCCCGGGTTGCTTGAGACTGTGATTAAGACTGGGTGTGGTGGTGTGTGCCTGTAATCCTAGCTCTTGGGAGGCTGAAAACAGGAGGATCACTGTGTCTGATCTGTGTAGTGAGACCTTGTAGACCCTATGCTAAATACAAAAATAGAATAAAATAAAATATGTAGAATTTGAAACTAGATAATACCACCATTTTAAAAGTACTATATTAATATAATAGGGTTGATTTCAGTTTCAAACTAACATTCTTTTGGTTATTATCTTAATTTTAAAATAACATTGTAGGGCTGGTGAGATGACTCGGTGGTCTAAAGCACCTACTTAGAACAAGCTAAGCTAAGCAAGGCACAGGGACCACGGTTCAATCCCCCAGCACCACATGCCAGCCAGCCCCGCCCCCTGGTGGGCTGAGCTGGCCACACACACACACACACACACACAAATAAATAAATAAATAAATAAAATTTAAAAAAAAAGTCCCTGGAAGAGACAGCTTCCCAGGGAACTACCCGCTCGGGACCCCCTCCTGTCCCTCTCTTGG